TTTCATTATAAAATTGCATGATAATTTGAAAGAATCTTATGCTAGAAACAAGGAGTTAAAACAGAAAATTAGTTTTTTGCTTCGAGATAATGCAAATGTTTTTCAACAAAATAAAAAGTTGAAAGCTGAAAATGATTACTTCAAAAAGAGTGAGACTGCTTTACATTTTGAGCTTGATAGAAAAACAAAGCTTTGTGAATTATTCAAAAAGGAACAAGGTGATTTGAAAAGAAGAATGAATGGTCTAAATGAGTTGATTAAACACAAGAAACAAGTCTGTTTTCAAAAGAATAGGTTGAATTCTAATTCAAATGAGTTTGCTATCCATAGGAGAAGACAAGTAAGATTTATTAAACCTGTTCATGTAAATAACTCTTTGGTTATGTGTAATTTTTATTGTCAAAAAGGTCACATGAATAGTGATTGTTATGTGAGAAAGAATATGAGAAGAGGCATGAAATGCATGTGGATAGTTAGACATGATGCTAATTTTAACAAGTAGGAGATTTTGTCTAATCATTGCAATGATTCTTGTTCATAATATTTTTTCTTTTGATACTTTGATCTGAGTTTTCGCTGATATCTTTGAATACTACTGAATCTATATGATGTCAAAAAGAGAGATAGAAGAATAATGCTGATCTCATGATGATTTGCTATGATTGCTGTCATTTCTCTATTTTTTCTTGGAATATTGAATTCTCTGTTATTGTTGCTGGATTATAGTAGTTGTTTTTTACTCTTATGATGACAAAAAGGGGGAGAAATGGATGCAATGTGTAAGGGGGAGTTATTCTAAGATTATGAGTTTGGCTCTTAAAAGTTTTGGTTGCAATGATTGAGGGGGAGCTTATACTTATTTTTGTTTCTTTCCATCCATTTTTTTGTCATCATCAAAAAGGGGGAGATTGTTGATCTTGATCCCTATCTTTTGATGTTTACAAAACGAATGGATGATACTAATATTTCTTCAAGATATATTTTCAGTTATGAAGTTATTTGATTCCATGATCAAGTACAATTGAAAGATGACAAAGTATGCTGAAGCTGTCGGACGCTCAAGAAGTCAGGATCGGACGTCCGATAATCATTGCACAACTTCGGACGCATGCTTCGGACGTTGGATAGGATCCTTCGAAGTCGACGAAACTATCGGACGCTGAATATGTCTCTACCGGACGTCCGATAGAAAAAAGATAATTTCTCAAATCTGTTTGTTTGCTGTCGGACGCACAAAGAGCTTGCACCGGACGTCCGAAAGAATTGAAGAAAATCTCTGAAACTCACTGCCTGCTGTCGGACGCATAAAACAGTGCTATCGGACGTCCGACACTACCAACGGCTAGTTGACTGTTCAGCTACTTTCTATCCGTTGGAAGCATTAATGAGGCACTTTTTTGGTCCTATATAAATAGTGGTTGGTCAGACACTTCAAACAACTTTGGTACACTGAAGATACAAAAGATCTGGAGAGATTTTAGTGAGAAAATACTCTTCAAAGAAGATTTGTAGTCTTAGTGGTGTGAGGTTCATTGTAAGCTTTTCATTTGTGAGTGAATACTTAATGAGTGTAGCTCTGTGAGGGTTGTCCTGAGGGATAGTAAAACATCCTGGCTTGACCGAGGAAGTTCGGGGCAAGGAGGAGGTGAACCTTCCTTTGTACACAAGAGTGATTGTAATTCATCAATTTGAAGTAGCTTGTTTGAAGCTCAAGCGGAGCTGGGTAGTTAATTGGTTTGCAATTCTTTCCTTTTACTTATTGTTACATTTATGATCTTTGCATTGTTTATCTCTTTCACTTGGTTGTTTCCAATCCTTACATTAGCATGTCCAAAAATGGAAACCTCTATACCGTTGGAAACTAGGTTCGAAGTGCCAAAAGTTCCTAGAAGACACTTTTCCAAGATTCTAGACGGAATGCATTCATTTTTCAGCTCAAAGTTTCAGTTCCAAGAAGACAGGTTTGAACTAGTCTTGGTTTTCCAGCAATCTTTGAAAATTCAGCATAATTCACAAAAAGTGAATCCGCCCTTGAATCTCATAGCACAATAAGAGTTTCAAACAAGGTTTGAAACATGACAAACGGAACTAAATTTGGAGTCTTGAGTATCAAGATATAACAGTTCAAAGTCGGTTAATTTCACTACTTGAACAGTGAATTTACAGATTTGAAAAGCCATCTTTGTAGCATCATTTGGATATAGAAAGGTTATTGAAATAATACCAAATTTGGTACTATTAAACTTCCATATGTGGACTACCTCTCTACCAAATTGTACCCAAAAACGCACGTGGGAAGGCAGTTAACAAAACTACCAAAGTTTGAAAAATGTTTCGAGGCTAATCTGCCCTCTTGCTTTTTTTTTTTTCTTCTTTTCCAAACGTTTTGCACAATGAAATCAGCCCCAATTCGATCCATTTTTGAAACCAAGGTCCTGTAACATTTAATAAGCAATTGACATCAAAATTTTCGAGACAAAACATCCCAAAACAACTCTAACCACTCGACCAGCAAGAAAGAAAAAACTTCTAGTTTTCCAGCTTTGTTGCACTTTCAAAATCAGACCACATCTCACTCAATATGAACTCAAATTAGGAATGGTTGGTGGCATTGGAAACTAGGTTCAAAATTATACATTTCATCAGAAAGAGTTATTCCCAAAATCAGTTCACAAGTGCGAGAAAACAGAGCCACAAGATGCAGCTTCTCCATTCCTCTCTGACAGAAAGTCACAACAGGGCAGTCAACTTTGCCGAATCACTAGGGTTCACTCCGTTCGTACTAGTAAGTGATTTTTATACCGTTGGAAAGTTATGAATGTCTAGTTTCAAATGTCATAAATGGCACTTGATTTTGATTTTTTTACAAAGAGATATGTTCAAGCACAGAAGTACTGTTCAGCTGTCCTGAACACCATTTCCAGATTTCTTCCTTTTTCGAAAACTCTAGTTTTGGGCTACAAAATGAAATGATTTTTGTAAGGCACTTTGTACACACAATATGTAACATATATCACTCAATTTCACAGTTAAATAACCATCAAAATTTCGGAACAACCACTGAGCAACAAGGACAGAATTTCGGCCAACTCTCTTGCACCATTTTCCTTCGATTTTTCCTTCACTTTCTAACCAATATCATCCCATACAACATATAAACAACATCAATCAACCAATTGTACCTCAAGTCAGGTACCTATAATCCACCTCAAGGCTACTGGCCTAAAGATTAAAGCAAGAAATGAAACGCCAGAAGTCCTCTAGCCTATTTCTTGCTTAGGGTTTCAAACCCATGCACAGTTAACCACTAAAGTTGGATTAAATGGAAAGATTAGAAGAGTTAAAGGTTACCTCTTGAACCCTTGTAGAAACCAGAATTTTTCACCCAAAAACTCTCCAAGAAACACCACAAGAGGTTGCCTTTCAAAGCTAAGATGAATCTCCAAGAACTAGAAGATTAGATGAAGTTTTGGAGCAAGTTTGAAGTGAGAAGTTTGAAGCTTTCTTCTGCCCCTTTTCCTTGAGAGAGTTGGCCGACCAAGAGAGAGAAGAGAGAGTGTTTGGTTGTGTGAATCTTCCCTTGGAAGATTGGAGGGAAAAAGGAAATAAAAGCTAACCAAAGTCAACTTTGAATAGTGCTCGAATAGTGTCCCGCACTACCACTTTTCTCTCTTGTTTGTTTCACTTGTGCACTAATTCTCAAATGTAATTCCTTTAACATTGTAATTATTTACTCTTAGTAGTCTAGTTTTAATTTCTCAAATCTCCAATTAGTCGCGTGGTGCGACTTTCGAGAAACTCTCGACGTACGAGCGATAAAGCGAAAATTTGAACTCACTCACCTCTAATCCCTCAATTAACTTTTCTTAGTCTACTATTGATCATTCTTAATTCTCCAAGATTATTGTATCTCGAATCGAATATTGTTTTGAAAAACGTGTATTCGCTATTTCTTACTAGACGAGACACAGAAAAATTAAATTTGCTAACGGGATGTTTTAAAAATATAAATGAGACCTTGCTACGTGTAATTAGTTTTAAAATGATTGAAATAAATTATTCGGAGAAAACGGTGAATAAATAATTAAATAAGCCAGTAAAATAGAATTAAAAGTAAGTAAAATTCGGGTCCTCACACATTTTCTCCTATTACAAATATTATCTCTGTTTGTTTTCTTATCTCTTTGGGAGCAACTTATAATGGCCGTTGCATCAGTTGGATATGAAAATGCATTTTTACATGGAGATTTAGAAGAAGAGTTATATATGGAACAACCTCCTGAATTTGTTGTTCAGGAGGAGAATTCGCAATTGGTTTGTTGTCTAAAAAAATCCTTATATGGATTGAAACAGTTTCCTAGGGCTTGGTTTGGCCGGTTTACAGTGTTGTCATGGAATTCGATTTGACAAAATGTGGAGTAGATTACTTTGTATTTTATCGGCATTCTAATGCTGGTAAAATTTTATTAGTTGTTTATGTGGATGATATTGTGATTACAGGTGATGATGTTGTGGGGATCCAGCAGCTTAAGTCTAATTTGTAGGAAAACTTTCAGACAAAAGATTTAGGTCACTTACAGTATTTTCTGGGTACTAAGGTAGCTCGGTCTAAATATGAAATTTATTTATGTCAAAGAAAATATATACTCGATATACTGAGTGAAGTTGGAATGTTAGGTTGCCGACTTATGGATACTCCTATGGATCCTAATGTGAAATTAGTAGAAGATCAAGGTGCATTACTAGATGATCCTAGGCAATAACAAAAACTTATAGGTAAATTAAATTATCTCATTGTAACGAGGGGGAGCGTTAAGAGAATATAAGTATTCTTGTACATGAATAAATTAGTAAGGGTATTCTTGTAAATACTTTTTAGATTTGTACTACTATAAATATTAGTTTTTTTTTTCAATTAACTTGTCTTATTTTATTGATAAGAAAAAGAATGATTACAAGGAGTGTATGAAGTATGATCTATGAAAGGAGGACATAAACAATCAAGCCTTAGTGAGCACCTCCCGGATCCGAGGTACTCCGTGACGATCCAGAAGAGCCTCTCCTCTGGGCCTGATAGGCAGAGCCGCACCTGAGATGTAGTACTGCTGCCTTCCCAATTGCAGAGAAGCCAATGCGTCCGCCACCGAATTGGCCTCACGGAATATATGGTGAAGAGATGCACCCATCCGCTAGATCAAATGTCTGATTTCCCGCAGTACGATACACACCGGCCACTTCGACCTCATATCTGAGCAAACTAGCTGAACAAGCACCTTTGAATCTGATTCTACAGTTAGCGCTCGGACCTTGCGATCTGCACACAGCTGGAGGCCATGCAGGAGTGACCACGCCTCTGCCTCCAACACGTCTAACTCTCCGAACTCCTTATAATAGGCGAAGCACACCTTACCACAGTGGTCCCGCAGGACCCCTCCCCCAGCTGCCTTGCCGTGCAGGACACCGGCATCAGTGTTAAGCTTGAGCCAACCCGGCGGTGGCTTTTCCCAAGTAACAGGGACAACACTTTTATCCCACCTACAGGGGCCTCCAAACCTTGCCCATGGACAGTCCCGATCACCTGCAAAAGAGGTCGTGGAGAATGCCTGAGACTTACCCATCTGATCCAAAAACTCCTCAACCCGGGAGATCACCTGGGTCGGAGAGAACGAAGCAGCTTCAAATCTTATTGAGTTTCTGCTCTTCCAAATGAACCAGAGAACCAATAAAGGGACCAGGACCCGCACATGTGTTGGTGACACTTTGGAGTGAGAGAAGAACCAGTGGGATAGCATAGCCGACACGCTGGCCGCGTTAACCGGAAGAAGACCGAACATTTTGAGAAAATGGTCCCACACCGTCCTAGCCACAGTGCCATTTAGGAACAAGTGACTGACAGTCTCTTGAGCCTGGTGGCAACAGCTACACCTAGAACATAAAGCGACCCCCTTGCTCTGCAGCACACTGTCAAGGGGTAACCAGTGGCGCACTAGACGCTATGCAAAAAAAGACACTCGTAGGGGCACAATCGGTCCCCAGACATAGCGATCAATCCACGATGTATGACGTCTTTGGCGGATGTCCTCCCACGCGGAGGCCACAGAGAAATCCCCATTGTGTGATGGTACCCAAACCATGGCATCGTCCTGTTCAGGAAAGAAACGGATGTTAGTGATCCGCTGCACCACAAAGTCGGGCACCCACTCCTTAAGCCGAGGAACATTCCAGCCATGAGCTGTGAAGAACTCTGCCACCAGGGCATGAGGAGGATTGGCGACCCCCACCACTAGCGCTAGAGGTAGATCACCACACCAGGTATCGTGCCAGAAGTCAACTATTCCCTTCCCTAGGCACCAGCGAATCCGCCTCTCCGCAAAATCTCGAACTGCTAACAAACGTCGCCATGATGCCGGGAGGTGATCCACTACAGCGATTGACGGGTGAGAGTTCTTAATGTACTTACTGTGCATATAGCCAGCCCATATCGAATCATTTTTCCGTAACTGCCACCATGACTTACAGGCGAAGATAGCTTCTCCCACGCCGCCCAGTGCAGTCTCTTTGAATCAACACTAGAATCCCAGAGAAAGGAGTTGCAGATCCTGCCTAGGGCCGCCACCACGATTTTGGGAGGGTAGATTGCCTGAAGCGATACAAAGGAATCGAGCCGAGCACGTGCCGAATGAGGACAATCTTGCCCCCCGTACTCAGAAGTTTAGAGCTCCAATGGAATAGGCGTGCCCGTAACTTCGCTAGTAGGGGATCGAAGACTATGGTGCCCATTCTTCCACGGACCAGGGGAACCCCTAGATATTTTATTGGAAAAGACTGTCTATAAAAGCCCAAGGTTGTCTCCACCAACCTAATATGTTCCTCCGACATGCGAGCGGGCGTAAGGAGAGTACTCTTCCCCGTATTTACCTTCTGCCCGGACTGTTTTTGATATAGCAGGAGAAACTCATGGAGAGCTGTCAGGGACGGTTCCGAGCACCGAGTGAAGATGATTGTGTCATCGGCAAAAGCCAGGTAGGGCACCGTGGCACCAGCAGACACAAAACGTCTATCCTTATGATTAAGTCCAAGCTGCTGGAGGCCCCGCCCAAGGAACTCCGCTGCAAACAAAAAGAGCGCAGGTGACAACGGATCCCCCTGTCGCACTCCCCTGCTAGACTTGAAAAAGCCAGTGGGTTGGCCATTGACCAGAATTGAAAACTACGAGTTGGAGAGGGTTCTGAAGAGGAGATCTACTGTGACCTCTGAAAATCCAAAGCTCCTAAGCATAAACAGAAGGAAAGGCCATTCCACTCTATCATACGCTTTCTCCATATCAAGTTTGAGCACCAAATTTGGGTGGGTCAGTTTCCTATCTAACTCCAACACTAGCTCCTGAGCCAGCAAGATATTATCCATAATGCCCCTTCCTGGAACAAACCCTGTCTGCCACGGCGAAATGAGCTTGGGTTGCAGACTCCCCAATCGATTTGCCAGAATCTTCGATATGATCTTGGAACTTGTGTTACAAAGGCTAATTGGTCTGAAGTCCTTCCACTGGCAGGCCCCCTCCGTCTTTGGGATCAATACCAGTAACGCACTTGAGAAGCCCCTGGGTTGCTGCACTCCCTTAAAAAAATCCTGCACTGCCCCAAGTAGATCTGCTTTGATGATCTCCCAGCACTGTTGATAGAAGCCCACCCCGAACCCGTCTGGCCCCGGAGCGCTATTTGCATCCATAGCGAACACCACTGCTCGGATCTCTTCCAGATCCGGTAAATGCCGTAACCCCGCGTCCTCTTCCTCCGAAACTCTAGGCAACTCTTGGGGCAGAGTGGGAGGAGGGACGTACCCACTGGATTAGAATAAAGCCGAGAAAAACCACACTGCTGAAGCCTGAATATCGCCCGTGTCCTGGATCCAGTCCAAAGCTTCATCTTTAACCCGTGCGACATAGTTGGAGTTTCTTCTCTGTTGGACCACTGAGTGGAAGAAGGATGTGTTCGCATCCCCCTCCTTGATCCACCGAATCGCTGCCTTTTGCCTCCAAAACTCACATTCCATTGACAAATTCTCTTAGGTACATGGCCCTTGCCTCATGTAAATGGGTCATCGAGGAAACGTCGCCTGTTGAGTCGAACTCTGCTTCTCGTTGTTTGTATGTAACCTCTGCTGACTGAACTCGAGCAAAGTTATTCCCGAATTCCTCCTTGTTCCACTTCCTCAGCTGAGTTCGAAGGGACGACAGCTTGGAGTAGAACAGTTGCATCCCGACACCTGAGCCCGACCCTTGCCAGACTGTTGACACCGTTTCCCAGAAGGTGTGGTGCCGATGCCACACGTTTATCTACCTGAAAGAGGGGGAAATTGGCGATCCCGCCCCCGCTTTGATCAAGAGAGGCGCATGATCGGACCGACCCCGGGGAAGGTGAGAGACTCTTGTGACTGGATATGCCGCCGCCCACCGGGCATTAATGAGAGCCCTGTCCAAATGCTGCCAAATCTTGCCATTCGTCCAGGTGAAGGGACACCCATCAAAGTCAACTAGGGAGAGTCCACATGTGAACATGGATGAATTGAACTCGTCCATGTTAGTGCCATTAGCTGGACGGCCCCCTCTCCGCTCTTCCGAGGACGCGATCACATTAAAGTCCCCCGCTATGATCCACGGCTCATTCCTTCCCCTACTGAAGCCCTCCAAGCAGCTCCAGAGGGGCCGTCTCCCCACTCTAGTGCACTTTGCATAGACCGCCGAAACAGAAATAGTCTCGCCAGACTGGAACGTGAGTCCACCATGCACAACTTGATCTTCACCCTCCTGAAAAGAGAGCCTGAGAGTCCCACTCCATAAACACCACACCTTACCGTTTAAGAACGAGTTCCCGTGGTCTAGCTTTAGCCTTCTACGGACCTCGTCCAAATGCTTAACCTCAGACATGGGCTCCAGAAGAAAAACCAAGGAAATCTTATGTCTTATGCAAAGTTTATGTAGATACTTAATAGAGTCAGAGCGCGAGGCGCCCCGTATATTCCAAACAATGAAATTAATTGGATTTATCATGGGAACGGAGGGGGTACTTAGCTTGAGACGGATTTGACACTTGCGTGCGTTTGCCCTTAGGTCTGCCCACCTTCCTCTTGATGTCCGCACCTTGGGTATCCTTCGGGTCCTGTTTGGCCTCTTCTCCAAAACTAGCAGGAAGCTCCGCTTGGGTGGCGTTCTCCTGGTTAAAAAGTTGAAGCTCCTCTAATGACGCGTGTGCCTCTCCTTGGGAGGACGTTGGAGATGAGGAGGCACGGACAGCCTCTAATGTCCTAGCCACCCCACAGCTTTCCCCTAACGTACTAAGGACTTCAAAACGATTGCCCAAGCCGCTCCCTTCTCCCTCCAGCTCTATTACCAACTCCTGAATTGGCGTAGGAGCTGGGTCTGCCTGTGGGCTCCTCCACCTCATGAGGCGGCCCCTGCTGTCGTTCCGGGGCAGGAAGTTCAAGCGCCACAGCTTCCCTGTCTTCATTCATCCCCGCATTCGCTTGGGTTCCGGTCTGCGAAATCCCTTTGTCGCGCCCCATTTTTTGATAAATAAATAAATGGTTTAAAAATGTATTTTGATTCAATTTTTTATTGGAAAATGAATTTTGATTTAAAAGAAAAATGGGTCTAAATGGGGGTTTGAGAATGCGACGATTTGACCCGAAATGTAGTTTAAAAAGGGTTTTTGAAACAATTGGAGTCGCCACTTGGTAATGAGTTAAGGTGTACCAAGTCACCTAAAAAAAATGAATTTTTAGAAAAAATAGGAAAAAGTAGTAAGAAACCCCTTTTAAACGACTCCTAGTCCACGTAAACCAACGAAAAAGGTTCGGGAGTCACATTTGACGAAGGGGAAGGCAAGGATAAAAATCCAAGGCACCCCTTCGACCTAGCCAAGGCTAGTTGCGTTGATTTAATCAAAGATTTTCTTGTTTTAACCAAAGAATTTATTACATTTGGATGCACTACATGAATGCAAACCCTAGACCTAGGGGTATTGGGGGAAATTTCTCTTCAAAGGTTGAGTGGTGCCAATCACATTAATTGTGAAGCCCAATAACGATCCTTTGAAGAAGTCACGAATAATGCGAGTGGGATGCAAATGAATGGAATGCATGTATGCAATGTGAAAACGTGAGTTTATGTGAAGTAAGAGAAAAAATAATAAAAATGATAGGATGTAAGTGGAGGTGTGCAATTGTATTTACAAGTGTTCGTGTGCAAGTGAAGGGATAAAAAAAGTGTACGTGTGCAAATGGGAGTGAAAGTGAAAGTGTAATGATAGAGTGGATTTAGAATGCATGAGCCTAGGGGATGCATGCATATTGGGCACGGGGAGAACTAAATCGTGACTCAATTTTTCCTTTGATAGAGGGAATACAAGCGTGCTAAGGCTTAGAAAAAGCCACACTCGTCTATATCCCATATTCAAGGGGTCTCTCACGCAAATGTACCCTATAACTAGTATGAGATGCAAAAATCCTAAAATGAGGGGAAAAGGGGTTCGAGGAGCATGCCAAATGATAAAACTAAGAAAAATGCATGACATGTAGTGAACATGCAAATATGCACTATCGAAAGGGGAAATAGCTCATTGGGTCTAGCATTGGACTAGCCTTTTCTATGAATTTTTACTAGCATTGGACTAGTGGAAACGGAACAATGAACCACAACTAGCGTTGGACTAGTGTGGTGACGTCCATTCATCCATCACATTCATTCATGACTATAAGAAGCGAGTAGACATGCGAATCACTTATAAACACGTAGCACATAACACTTAGCATGCTTGACTAGATGCAAGGACCTAATAAAGCGAATTAACACTTAACACGTAAGCATGTAACCAAACTAATGAACCTATTACATTCACTAACTAAAACAAAAGGGGAAAGGGAAAATGGACCAAATTGCTCGCCAAGCCCTATCTATTACAAGCCAAGAGGTGTACACATACCCCATTAAGAATAACTTAAATAAAAAGCAAAAGTAAAAATGAAATAAATAAAAGGAATTAAGGAAAGGCAAGGGCAGCAAGTAAACATGCAATTTTCACTTAGCACATTAGATCACATAGGGGAGAGACAAAAGAGATAAAAGAAGTTATACCTCCCTTGAAATGGAGCTCTAATGGAATGAAGTCACTTATTTACCCTCCAAAATAATAAACGAGTCAAGGCATCACTTTATTTAACAAATAATCATATAAAATGGTAAACTTGAAATTGAATCAATTGAATCATGAAAGCAACTCACATTCAAGAAGTCAAAAGAAGAAAGGACTTGATTACACAAATTAACAAAGTTTGGAGGTCAAAATTAAAGAAAAATAAAGTTCAGGGACCTATTTGCAATTAATTTAGGGACCCAATTGGAGGAATCACGGAGACTTTGGGGTCGAAATTAAACAAAAGTAAAGTTTAGGGGGCAAATTATGTTTAAAACATGACTTTCTTGAACAAAATCTAGAAGTTACGCAGGCTTTAATGTGATTTTACCAAAGGTCAGGGGTCAATTTGAAATTAATTCAGGACCTACTTGCAAGAAATAACAAATCATTCGGGCCGTGATGAAATACTTAAAAAGTCAGGGGGCTGGAACTACAAGATCAGATGAATAATCATCTTCTCCGAACAATCTAAATGTCAGCCTCAATTTCAGCTTCCTTTCACGGACAAAAGCAACCAAAACTCAACTCTGATCATTTCAAAAAGGAAAAATGCAACTAGCATAAATCCATACAAAGAAACTCGACCATTCCCAATTCCAAATGGAACTCAAACTCCTACGAGGGAAAGGACAACAGGTAGAACAGAAATGAAAGCAACAGAGAGACATCCGAACATAAACATCTCTCAAAACTCTCCTTTCATGCTGCAAAAACAACAATTTTCGGCCAGCTTTGGATTGACCAGAGCTGCATCTCACACACAGACCCACACAAAATTCATCAATTTTTGCAGCTTTGATTCAACGTTTTCTATCAGGTATTTCTTCAAACACCAAATGAGCATCAAAGACATCATCGATTCTTAGCTCAATTGGGGTTATAATCAACCCCAAATTTGCCAGAAATCCAAGAGAAATCAGCCCAATCAACATATTTGCGAATTCAGAAATTTTAAGCTAATTAACAGGAAAACTGTACTAAATAAACCGACGGAAAAACCATTTCAAAACTGGACAAGAACTGAAATTTAAAGAGGGAAAACCCAATAGCTTACCGTGTTCCTGCTTGGTGAAATTTTGTAGGGGGTGATGGTGGAGCTTGAGGTGGAGGTGGCCCAGGCCTAGGTGGAGCAGTAGGAGCTGCTGTCCCATTGGCTGCAGAAGCAAATGGAGGTTTATTTGCTTCAAGTGGCTTTGACTTGAAGTATAGCTGGAGCGCAAACATTTTAGAGTCTTGATCCCAGTGTGAGAGGAACTTGGGAGTTGATTTATCAATCGCCGTGCTAGGAACCTTTGTTTTGTCTCTGGATCAATTTGCTTTGTCACTCGATATCCAGGCCTGCCAATTTTAACGGATTTTTAAGTGCAATTTTACGCTTGTGAGGCTGGGGGTTGAGCAGGAGCCTCCTTGGCTTCGCGAGCGGCTCTTTTAGCCAAATTAGTCTGGTGGCGTTTCCCTTGCGTGTGAGCCAAATAGTTCCCCTCGTCGTTGTGTAGCGTCAAACACAGCTTGCACTCGTAGTTGCCCAGATGACTGCGCATAAAATAGGGATCCTTTGCAAGGTCGATAGTCTCGAGGGCAAGTCGTCGCAACCATTCTTGCCGATCAATGGCCTTATTCTGGGCAGAGGCAGCACTTCCGCTGCCTGGCTTCGAATCCCGTTCTCTATCCATCGCTCCTTTGCACTGCCGGAGCGACCCTGTTTCTTTGGCTTTGTTTTCTTTGCTCTGTTTCCTTTGCCAAAGCTGGCCCCCTTCCTTCTTTCCCCTGTTTTTCTTTTCCTTTGTTTTTCAGACCAAGCTCTCTCGGTCTTTCCTTTTTTCCGTCCGTTGCCTGTTTCTTTGTTTTCTTCTCCTTGGCCTCAGACGACGCCCCCCTTTTTCTCTTTTTTTTTTTTTGCTTTTTCCCCCCGCCGTTGCCTTTTGTTTTCCCTCGTTGAAATCCTCTCTTGCTCTCGTCCCTTTTTCTTTTCTTTCCCCCGCCGCCAGTCAGTTTTTCCTCTCTGGTTTCTTTCCTTAGCCGTCCTTCCTCTGCACCGTATCCTCTCCTTTTCCAGTTTCACTTAGCTGTTTGATTTTCATGCGCCGTTGCTCTCTATTTTTTTCTGCGGCTGTTGCTTCTTGTTCCTTTGATATGGAACTCCAAGGTTCCTAAACCCTCACCCCAATGGTGAGGATGAAGGCTTGTCCTTCCCCTTCCATCCAGCCATCCGATGGCTATTGAAGTTGTACCATGCACGCTGCAAAAAATTGCAGCGTGCATGCTGCGGTAATTTTTAATTTTTATTTATTTATTTTTTTTAACAACTTGATAATTACAGAAATGATAACATAGAATATAAATAATAATAATAACAAAATTACACAAACCAGGTAACAAAAACAAAAGACTAAATAAAAATGGCCATTTTTTAATTTTTTAATTTTCATTTTTTCATCATTTTCTTTTTCTCAAAATAACTTAATAAAAATAACTAAAGTGCCCAAAGATTGAATTTAAAGAAATAAACATATTTTTGTGAACAAATTTTCCTTTTCCTTTCTTTCCATTTTTCCAAGCCAACTAAAGCCTATTTTTTTGAATTTTTCTTCTTTTTCCTCTTTTTCTTTAATTTTCTCTTTTCTCTTTTTTTTTATGATTTTTCATTTTCATTTTTCCTTCAAGAAAGCATTGAATAAAAACAAAAATGACTAAAACATATTTTTGATGTTTTCCTTTTCTTTTCTAAAAACTCTATGCTAACCTTAAACATAAAAACTAAAACTAAAAACTAAAACTAAAAGTAAATAAGAATAAATAGCAAATGAAATAGGTCAACTAAAAGGGCGAAAATGAATAAAACTAAAATATCATAACAACTAATAGTGCAAAACACACACTAACGAACTAAAATGCAAGCAATCTAAAATGAAAATCCTGAAATAGATGATACATACAAATTATTCAAAATTTGTTGTCTACAGTTTGCCCCTCTTTGTCTGAGTTTTGAAAAAACTTGAGACAAAGAAGTAGACACCAAATACTTACCTGCATTATTTGGCTGCAAAAATGATTCCAACGAACAAGAATTCTAAAATGGGGCTGACCCAAACATAAAATTAAAAACGGAACTGACCCGAACAGAAAATGTAAAATGGGATAGACCCGAACAGAAACGTAAATGGGATAGACTCGAACAGAAAATGAAAAATGGGATAGACCCAAACAGAAAATGTAAAATGGGATAGACCCATGGGATAGACCCGAACAGAAAATGAAAAATGGGATAGACCCGAACAGAAAATGAAAAATGGGATAGACCCAAACAGAAAATG